TCCAACAAATGGGGAGCATGGAGGATGCCAAAAGTGCCAGCGGGCTCTGCTCACTGGAAATCCCACGAGGAAGAGCACAAACCCTTTGAATAGCCATGGGGGAGATGAAAGCCTGGCCAGGGTGCAGCAAGATGGAAAGGTGTATGATGGACACAGCAGCACCATGGCAGTAGATGGGAAGCGGCACCTACAACCCTGCAGTCTGTAGAGGTGCCTCTCCATCCGCTGTGATGGGACCATGCAGGGAACAAGGAGGGTATCACCCAGTGGAGGTGGCAGCTGCTCAGACCCTAAGGAGATGCTGCTGCAGAAACCCAAAGGGCTGCTGCTAACCAAGGCAGGAGGTTTATTGATCAACAAATGGGAAATAATGGTCCTAATCACAAACAGCCTGGTATTGATAGAGCTGAGTTAATAGTGCTAAAGGGAGGGAAAGAAAGGTCAACATACAAGTGAAGAATCGACTGCTGTCTTGTTAGACCTGGATGCATATATTATTAAATATAAACTTGGCAGTGCACCACAAGTAAACCAGGGAACATAAATTATGTAGATTCATCTCCCACTCTTCTACTGCACTGCACTAAAGGAAGCAGGGTATGACCCAAAGTACATGATAAAGTGGGGAGATTAAAAGGAAATGCATATAAGCTTAAGGGTTATAGCATGCATAGATTGGGTCATAAATTAATTTAAATATGAGGACTGTTAAGGTCCTGTAGCCTAACCCTGGCCATAAAACTTCCTCCAGACATTCTTCTGTGAAACCTGCACCTTTGAATAAGAGAATATCCTCCAGAAGGACATTGAGTTTTGATTTAAAGGCAGGGCATATCAGAGAAAAAGCACTATATCCTTAATAAGCTAATGGAAAACTCATCTCTCATATCCAGCATAAATGTATGTGATTTACATTCCAGAGAGACTGGTTGCCAAGCAGGAAACTTAAAGTGAAAAGTTTTAAGTCCTGTTCTCATTAGGACTAGAAAACCCAGCAAAGCAGTATGACTGCAAGATCAAAGCATCAGTAATTTCAGGCTGGTGTTACACGTTTAGATGTAGGAAGAGCATTTTAAAATATGCTTCTTGTTGGCATACTACAGGTCAGAGATGAACCTTTACATGTGCATCTCGCTGGGAATCTGATGTTTGGAAGAGGCATTGAAAGTAGGATTATCCCCATAAGTTTGCTTCTGTGTAAAACCAGCTTTCATCCTCAAGGTACTGCTGCCCTGACAAAAATCAGACAGTATTCCTGCTCTGGCACCCCAGGAAAGCAGAGCTCTAGGGGCTGCTTAGGGATGAGCCCCACTGCTGTCACAGTGAGAACATGCCGGTCAGGAGGAGGAAGAGGATGTGCCGGTTGGCATGAGACACACAGCATCAGTGAGTGCATGATGGGGTTATCCTCATTAATAGCTTGTCCCTGTTGGTTATTAACACCATCTCCTGATTAACAGCTGGGAAGAGGTACTCTGGCCACTTCCCAGAAACTCGATGCTGACGGGGCAGGGAGCAGGCTATGGAAGAAAGACACTGGTTTTGCCCCTGCTGCATCCTTCCCTGCCTTCCTGCTGCCTGCAGAAGTCTCTCTGCTCTCTTGCACCACTGAGTTTAGAAAACCAATGAAGAGTCACGCTTTCAGGTTGGTGCCTTTTTGTCAGCTCTGGCTGAGGTTGGGCAGTGAGTTAAAGAAATGGCAGGGGGAGGCAGGGATGTTGTGTGAGCCCTAGCCCATTGGGGACCAAGCCAACACTGACCCCAGGCGACAGCCCTCACTGCTCCTTGCAGAGTGCTGCCGAAGTAAAGAGGTCAATCCTGTTTGCCCCAAGACATGGGTATCACAAGGAAACCCAAACCACAGGCTACAGTCCTGTGTTGTTGTCACTTAGAGCAAAGCTGCCCTGAATTCACCATAAACCCTTAGCAACATCAGCTGGAAATTCTTCATGCGACTGTGGGGAAAGTCGATGTTTGCTCAGCTCGCCTGTCTCCACGAGATCAAATCTGCCTTGCCTGCATGAAACAGGGTGACCAAGACTGCTGATGTCTAAAAATAACACCTCCTTTAGCTGCCGTCCCTCACACCTCCTCCCTGCGGCCTGATTTCCCAAGGAAATGGGGCTGCCGTGCTTGTGTTGCCTCTTGACCCCACAAATCACTTCCAGATCTGTTGGCCATTTCGAGGGAGATGTGGCAGCAGGGTGGGAGTAGTCTCGGAGGCAGGTGAGATGCTGCAGGCTTTGCAGGGCTACCTCGGTGGGTGGAAGAGAGGTTCAGCCTTGTAACCCCATGGGGGAAGGGGTTTCAGCCAGACCTCTGTTAGAGAGCAGCAGGGAAGCCACCGAAGCCTGTGGGGATGGATGCACAGCCCAACTGCAGCGGCTTTGCTTGCATTCAGTGCCATTTTAAACAGCCAGTATCCATGAGCAGGACACGGAGCCCCCGCAGCGTGGGCTCCTGGGCCATGGGAAGCTCACTGGAATGCTGGCAGCCACACAGGTGGATGACTTCAAGCTGCCTCTGAAGTGATTTAATCCCTAATAACAATATTACAGCGCCTGACAATTAGAGAGGGACTGTCACGCCGCCTGCTTGCCAGGATGTGAGTAATCATTTCTAAGACCCCTCGCTAAGATGCAGTGCTAATCAGTTTAAGGTTCCTCTTTTTCAGTGCAGAGCGCTGCAACTGACCCCAGCATGACTGCTGGAAGCCAGTCTGGAGGCTGGGATTGCTCAGAGACCTGGCAGGGAGCTTGTGGCATCTTGGTACATTGCATGTGTTCTATCTGTAGGCAGGAAACACCAGTTTGGATGGCTGTGGCTCAGTCATGTCTCTCATCAGGAGGACTGATCGAGGGGCTGCTTCTTGCCAGTAAGAACCTACAGTCCCATCACTGGATGGATGGGAGCATCCTGAAGCAGAGGTGGACATAGGGCTGGGTCTCAGAGGTGCTGGTGTCCAGGTAGGAAACAAGGACTGAGTAGTGGGCACTGACAGAGCAGTCATGAAGGTCCATGGCTCGGTGCCATTCAGGCTCAGCATCCCTAAGAGCTGAGCATGTGGCGTGTGACTCGCATGTGATGGAATTTACCCCCGCTGGGTTTCCTTTTGAAAGGGAATTCTAAACCACCTTGGTCTCTCCTTAATCTCATCAGCCATTGCCTCCCTGCCCTCAGTGTTCGCTTCCTTTCTTGTTGCTAGCATTCAAGCCTTCACTGCTGCTCCATAGATAGGGGAAAATGTGCAAATGTCTCTATTCAAAAGATGGCTTAAATAACCCACCCAAGAGTGCTCAGCCCTGTGTAGAAGGCACTTGTTTTAAGGATGCTTCATACAGCAGAACTGGAACACATGGTTTCATTTCACCACTTATGTCAAGACTGGAGCTGGCCTGAGAGGCGTCACCCCCCTTCACTGCTGCATGCCCACCTCCTTTGAGCTATGTGGAGAATCTCTTCTCTCCTTTTTATCTTGATACTTTCCCTTTGATCTGTGTCATCTCATCATCTCTCTGCATCATCTTCCATGGTGCAGAAGGAGCCTTGTTGAGCGGGTAGGGGCAGAGCCTCTCAGCAGAGCACGTTTGCTTCTTGGGTTATTTCCTTTCCATGTTGGGTTATTTCTTTCCCTTTCTCTTCCTGCACAGCAGCCAAGGTGGGAACTTCTTTACCTTGGCCCTAGGAGGAATCAGCCCCCGGTATGGCTGATGTTTATTGTGCTGTATGGTCCAGAGTGTGATGTGCCAGGTCTTCCTTTGCCAGAGTTGTCTTGGTGGCCTAAGAAAGCGAGTGTTAAGCAGAACATAGAACTGGCCAGTGGGTACCAGGAACCAGCTGTGGTTATAAAACAAGAACACCAAAATAGCTTTAATGCTTCTCACACTGTGTAGGCTTGAATGGTTCTTAAAACAGGCTTGGTTTGCCCTGGATGTGGTAAACAAGTTCTGAGTCCTGGAGGGCTGACAGTGAGCAAGAGATGGAGCACAGCAGCAAAGGCAGCCTGAGCAACAGCAGTAGCGAAACATCCCCGCTTGCCTCAGATAAGCCCTGTACCCGTGTTCAAAGCTCCTTTAAAGCCAGGGTGCTTTGTGCAAGGGGCGGATGAGATCTAGAGCTGCAATAACTTTACTCAAGGCACTGCCAAGTGTTTTTCCATCTTGTGGATCCACCTTGAGCAGTGCTGAGGACTCTGAGCACAGACCACTTGACTGAGCTGTGCTGGACCTCACCAGGAGGGTAAGAGCAGATCCCACCCCACAGCTTCCCCAGGCCAGCTAACCCTCCACTTGGGACACGCCGGGAGTTGGGAGTTGCAATGCTTGCCGCTAGATTGTGCAGTGAGGTTATATGTGGCACACAGATCGTGTCTGGTTTTCTGTTCTCTTTAAAGCAAAGACCTTTTTTAGCGTGCGAATAAATACTCTCCTAAAAGAGAAGACACCATCTGCTCCTAAGCACAGATTTCATTTTCTGAAGGGTTAGGTTTAAATGTGCTCAGAGTGGTGGCTGAGGGAGCCTGTCATGGGGTTTTGCCCCTTCTGTATCTTGCTGGAAGCAGATGTCTTCGTTTATGGGAGGGTGATGTGGCGGCTGCAATGAAACAGGGGTTCTGGCAGCTGGAGACTGCACAGACGCCCTGAGCTCCCTGGAGCCTGATGGTTAACCTGGTGCTTGCTTAGAGCATTGACATGCAGACAAATGATCAGGAGCCAGTTGCATGGGGGCCCTGGAGACACAGCCTGTGCCCTATGGGGCTCCAACTCTTTCATCATCCTTAGGGAAGTCAGCAGCAGGAATCAGAGCTGCAGTGAGGCGCTTTCTTGTGCACAGTGATTTGCTGGGTGAGCTGGGGCAAGGACATGCATCCCTCCGGTGGGGGTTCTCAAAGAGCCAGCCAGCTCACCAGTTACACCAATGCAGAGCTGCAGCACAGCCCCTTGGGAGCACTGGTCCTGTGTCAGCGTGTCCCTCATGCCTTCACCTCTCTTGCCTTCCAGCCACTGGTGCTGCTGATGGAATGGCCTGAAGCCACCAACTTCGCCTGTCTGATCGCAGGCTACTGCCGTCTCCTGGTGGACTCCAAGAAGATGATATTCTCCAGGGCCCCCAGCCAGCCTCCCCCTCCTCAGATTATCAAGGCAGGTACGTTTCAGCCTCTGCTTTCTGTGCGAGCCCCTTCCCCTGCCTCATCTTCCTCCTCCTCCCTCCGCCCAGGGCTCTGCAGCATCAGAAAGGAGAAAGGTTTCTCTGGCATCTCCCCTCTGCCTCCATTCCCTGCAGAACCCATTCTAACCATTTTGGGTAAGCTCTGCCTTGTGGTGTCAGCTTGGTCCCTAAACACTCACTGCAAGTGTTGTTCTGGTAGCTGCTAGAGCAGATCCAGGAGGTGCCATTTGTAAAGACCTGTAATTGCTGCCAGCTAAGTTCTGGGTCCTTATAGAACAGCCTGTGTGCTGCTGCAGGGATGCAGCTCCTTGGCCAGCATCCTAGCTCTGGAGACCAATATGAGTGTATGCACTTAGCCAGGAACTGCTCTCCTGCTGCCTTTGGACACTGATGCCTTCATTAGTCAGGTCTGGGTTGCACAGGCAGCTCTGCTGATGTGCTAAATCAGGAAGGGATCTTTGCTGTTGCAGCTTTTCAGGTGACCAGCCTGATGCAGTGAGCATCAGGGCACAGCAGGAGACCAGAACACCTACAGACAAGCTCTGTCCCACCAGCCACGGCTGTGCTCTTCCTTGAGGGTGGATTGCAGGTGTGAGTCACCCTCAAAATGATCAATGACCCTAAAGAGTGATGTCAAACAAGAGCCAACCATCAGCTACGTGCTGGTGTTCCGTGCAGGTGTTCACACTGAATGTGTTTTGTATAGGGAAATATCAAATCTGCGGGATCAGTGGCTGGAGATGGGCAAAGCACCAACCCGGCCAACTCTATCCCCAAACCTCCTGAGTGACATTGCAGCTCCAGAGAGCTGTGACAAGCCTTCAGTTTAGGTGGCACAGTGTTAAAACTGCCTCCTCGAGGTGCGAGGTGGGAGGAGTGCCAAGAGCTAGCAGGGACCTAGGGAAAGGACTCGGTGCCTCTGAGGTCTGAGGAAGGCACCCAGCCACGGACTTAGCACATGTGGGAGGACACGCACACAAGAGGCATCGAGAAAGCATCTGCGGCAACAGCAGGGAAAGACCTGGCTGGTGATGTTGGTGTAAGTATATGTGCATGGTTTCCTTTTGTCTCTTCACCTATGCCTCTTATTGATGGCTGTCACGGTGCTCTCTGCCTACAGGAGTCCTACGGGAACACATTTAGTCACATCTTGCTGAGTGGAGGGTGTTTCCAACTTAAGTGGCTGCCATCAGGGGACTCCTTTTCTGGGTCGTGTCACCCTGAGACAGGCTACAGGGACACGTGGCTGTAGGGATTTAGAGGAATGCAGGAGGAAACAGAGAGCATCCCAGAACATCCCCAAGGGCTCAGAGGGGGTCTGGCAGGGCCCACGTTACTGGTCACGCAGGGGATGTCTCGGCATGTGCAGGTGGTATTCTCCACACTCCAGCAACAATGGTAATAGGCAGGATTTTTCCTCAGGGAGATTGTGCTTCATGAGTACGGTCCAAACCTGTGCCAAAAGGGGAAGTAGATCTTGACCTTTTCTTGACAGGCTCAAGAAACCAGTATCACTATGCAGGGGGCTGGAGTGAGTGTGAGGGGAAGTCATGGTGTGGGTTGGATAGCGAAGGAGCAATGGATCCGTCACACCAAAGAGCCAGCCCCTCTCTGGATGGCCTGGTCTGCCCCCAGGGGTGCAATGAAAACCTCTCTGACCAGTGGAGGGGAACAGTTTCTCTGCAGACCCAGTACCCTCAGCCCAGCCTCTCAGGCATCCTTCAGGAGTGAATTCAGTGTGTGATGGGAAAACCAACTCTACTCACAGTTCCTGTCTCACTACTGCTGCAGGCTGAAGTGTCAGGAGCGAGGCAGATCACAGGCAGCGGGGCCATTAGCACATCTCTGCAGGAATGATAAGGAAGCCCCACTGGGATGAATCAAGTTAGCCCAGGTGTTGACTTTCCAGGCTGCAGGCAGGCTGTGCCAGTATCTTAAATGTAAAAGCAAGCCCTGGCCCGTGCTTTGCGCCTAGAATAGGAGCACATCCATTTTCCCTGAGGCCCATTGAAAGCTCCTGCTGAACTGCAGATGTTTCTAGAAATGCACGCTCTTTTCGGATGCTCTCAGTTACATCCCAGTCTCCACATTTCCTTGCAGAGCTGGATGCTAGATCCTTGCCTTCCATGGGAAGGGTTGTGCTGTGCTGGAGCTATGCAGGCAATTTGCCTCTGCCCCTTCTTCTCCCTGCTCTAAGCAGCAGCCATTATCAGCCAAGCAGCAACATGCCCTAGGCTGCTCTCTCATTTCTTCATCAGGACCTCCTCTCCCAGCAGCTGGATTATGGATTTTAGGGTTCTGGCCCCATCCAGGACAGTGGCCTGGTTCAGCACAGGCACCCAGTGAGGTTGCTTTGGGAAAGCCTCTGCTTCAGTCCATGAGCTGAACGTGCATCCCCAGCTGCAGCAGCCTTGTGTTCACTCACAGAGCTGCCCTTCCTGAGGACCAGAGTGCCCGTAAATGAGAATAGATATTGTTTTGTCTGGGATTTTAGCATCGCAAGTGATGAACAGTATAACACGAACGTATCTGGGGAGACACACTGTCCAATTTGTTCAGCTAATGACTTTAATTGGGATTTATTTGATTTAATCTATACTTGGTAAGATGGAGCCTGCATGCCCCTGGCAGCCATTCCCAGCACAGCTGCACAATCCAACCTGTAATGCAGACAGATGCCCCTCCTGAGGCTGGACCACTGGCCACAAGTTCAGAAGGTATTTCACCTGCTTGCTTTACACAAGGGAGCAGTGGGAGGTTGTTGTAGGGCAATGCTTAACAGCAGGGGCGGAGGGCATGATGCTGGTGGATGAAAAGCTGGCATGAGCTGGCAATGTGTGCTTGCAGCCCAGAAAGCCAACCATGTCCTGGGCTGCATAAAGAGAAGTGTGCAGGTTGAGGGAGGGGATTCTCCCTCTCTACTCTGCTCTGGTGAAACTCCCCCTTAGAGTACTGCATCCAGCTCTGGAGTCCTCGGTACAAGAAGGACATGGATCTGTTGGAGTGGGTCCAGAAGAGAGCCACAAAAATGATGAGAGGGATGGAACACGTCTCCTAGGAGGACAGGCTGAGAGGTGGGGGGTTTTAGCCTAGCAAAGAGAAGGCTCTGAGGAGACCTTCTTGTGGTGTTTCAGTACTTAAAGAAGGCTTAAAAGAAAGATGGGGACAGACTTTTTATGAGAGCCTATAGCATGGCACAAGAGGTAATGGTTTTAAACCAGAAAAGGGTAGATTCAGATTGATATAAGGAAGAAATGTTTTATGACGAGGGTGGTAAAATACTGGCACAGGTTGCCTAGAGAGGTTGTAGATGCCTCATCCCTGGAAACATTCAAGGTCAGGTTAGATGGGGCTCTGAGCAACCTGATCTAGTAGATGATGTCCCTGCTCATTGCAGGGGGTTGGAGCAGATGACCTTTAAAGGGCCCTTCCAACCTGCACGTGCAGGAGATTTCTTTATTTGCATCTCTCCCAGCTGCCCACCGAGCTGAGGGCTGGAGGGCAGAGCGCACACGGATGCTCCTCCAGGGCGAGCAGGAGCTTCCCCGTGCTGTTTCCCCTTCTCCTGGGCGCTGCTGCTAACGTGCCCGCTGTGGTTTTGGTTTAGATTACATCAACGCACACAACTTCCACCGGCCTGCCGCCCCGGGGCACACGGCAAAGAAAGAGAGCGGGTTGGTGGCTGGCTCTGCCCCCAGCACCGGAGCAGCCGGGGCTCCACCAGCCAGGGCTTCCGACTCGGAGCTCATCAGCTTCTGCTACCTGCACATGCGAGAGCAGAGGAAGGAGAGAGAGAGCGGGACGGACATCAATGAAAACCTGATATTTTTTGAGGAAACCCGCCCCAGGACCAAATCCGACCCCACCTCCAAAAGCTCTGGCCAAGGCTACAACGGGACAGCCAAGGAGTACGACCCGGATGGCCTTGACCAAGACAGGCACACAGGCAGGGCCAGGGCACACACCATAGACACCCACCTGCGCAGCGACGCCTCGCACTTCTACTGCGAGTCCTGCCAAGCCAAACTCAAGAGCCGGCTGGCCTCATGCAAAGGGGGCAAGCCCGGCAGCACCCGGGATAACATGGTGGACTTGATGTCTCTTCCCCCTCCTGGGAACGACGAGGAAGAAGACGAGACGACGTCCCTGCTCCCCGCCATTGCTGCTCCCCCTCCCGGCTTCCGAGACAACAGCTCGGATGAGGATGATCCCAAGCGCCGCGCGGCTGCCCAGAGCCAGGAGCAGGGCCGGCACCTCTGTGGCATCCTCTACGATGAGATCCCTGTCACACTGATAGACAACGTGCAACCACGGACGGTCCGAGACCATGCCCAAGAGCTGGATGATGCCCTGGTGTCCACCCTGCAAGCACTGGAAGCCTTGGCTGCTTCAGAGGATTGTCCGCATCCCCCTCCACAGCAGACAGCAGGTATTTCGATGGCTATGACTTCTTTTCTTCCTTGTAGCCTTTCTTTCCTTTGGTATATCCTTCCCTTTAGTCTTCTACTCTCATCCTGTATGTGATTGTGGAGCAGGTTCTAGTAAATCCAAGTTGTGGCAACAGGCTGTAGCAGGGGCAGCCGAACTGATGCTCAGGAGGTTTCTAAGCAGCTGAAGTGGGACTCGTCTCCTTGATGGTGCCTGAAGGAGTGTCTTGGTTACCCCCTGTCTGCCATGGTCCATGTGCCACGATGCTGGAATGAGTCCCTAACAAGCCAGTACTGTGAGCACGAGTTCCTCCCAGCTGTAACCCCGCTCAGTTGGTACCTTCAGCCCTCGGTCTTTGCAGGTTCTCACCCAGGTTTTGCAGTGTGAGCCCTTCCTAGGGCAAACCTGCTGTCAGAGGGGTGTCTCTGGTACCAGCCTGCTGGCAGCACACTCCTTTGTCCCTCTCCCCACCTTGGTTTCCCTATTCACCACGGCAGAGTCTGGGACTTGTCTGGCCCAATTTTCCTTCTTGGGCCAGATGAGTCTCTGTAGCTCTGCTGTCACTAACACTGGAAAGCTTCCCAGGACCTTTTCCTTGGCCAAGATCTGTTGCTGTGTTGACTTAACAAGCCAGCTGGTGCTGACAAGTGATCTCTTAAAAGCATTAACTCTTAGTTGCGGGAAGTCACTAAAACGTCTCCAGTGGGATGCTGTGTTCTGCATTCCTGGAGCCCTCCTGCCTCATGAGGTTCCCCTCTCCTCTGTACACCAGTGGGGTGTGAGTGTTGTCGTGGGGTTTAATTTGTGTCCCTCCTCAGGTCTTATTGTGCTGGCTGCCATCACTCCCGAGTCATCCCTGGATTCTGGCCATGAAACCAACTCTTCAGAGCTAACAGATATCTCAGAGATGGTCTCTGCCATGAAGCAGCATCAGAACGCAGCCTACTTCCTCGCTCAACACATCAACAAAGAGAACCTCCTGGCCAGAAAGGACTTGCCCTTCCGAATCCAGAGCTGTGCTGCCCAGGCTGTGCTCACCTCCCCCTGTGCCCTAAGCCTCCAGGAGCCAAGCCCTTCGTTGAAGCCAGCTTTCTCTAACCAAAGCCCCAGCCTCACCAACTGCAAGAGCAAGCAGGAGCAGCAGCATCCTGAGAGGAGCTACCCCTCGGCCGCCAAGCCAGCACTGACCCCGCAGCTCAGTGAGCAGAGCAGGGGGGCTCCAGTGTCAGGCTCTGAATGCAAAGGTGCAGGCCACACTAAAGCTGCCTTTGAGGTATCTCTGCATGCCACAGCGGTCCCCAGCATGGAGCAGGCACAGGATCTACAAGAGAAGATGCCCAAAGAGGTCCAGCCAAGCTCCAAGCTCCTCCTGGATCAGAAAAGCGGTGTAACTCCAGCCATCATTGCAGCTGCACTGCAACAAGTGGCAAACGCAAAAGGCTCAGCTCCGCAAGTGACAGCAGCCTCAAAAGAGGACAGGAACACGAACGGTACCAGCAGCTGTGCACCAGCCAGCAGCAAGCCTCTGAAACCCAAAGGAGGTCCACAAACCGCAGACACATCGTGCAACTGCCAGCAGCAGCAGCAGCAGCAGCTCCCTCCACAGCAGCACTGTGAAGACTCTCCAAGTCCTAAAGAAGCTCACGGCAGTAAGGCGGAAGCTTTCCACAGCAGCTCAGGTGAGGAAACGATGCCCACTAAGACTTCTGCCTCTAAAAGCTACCAGCAAAAAGCAGGTAGGGATGCTCCAGGAAGAGCCACAAGCGGAGAGCCAGGTCCAAAGGCAGGTGGGGAAGCCCCGAGCCTTGTCTTTCAGAAACATGCAGCTCCTTCAAACCAAGGGCAGAAAATGCAACAGGAAAGCTCAGCCAAAGGCTTCAAAGCCGAGAGTAGCAACGTGCACTCTCCATCGCCTGGTAGCGCTTTCAGAAGCACCAGTGAGGAACCCAAAGGGCCAGTCCCGCTGGTGCACAGATCCGAGAGCCTGCAGATCAGCACCGTGCCTTCCAAAAAAGCAGAGAAAGCCCTGGAGGTGACCCAACAAGAGGCTGATGTCCCAGCGAAACCCAAAGCTCCGAAAGCTTCCTTCAGGCTGAGGAACTTGTTCTCAGCAACTTTTCCAACCCGGCTGAAGAAGGAGACAGATGAGCGGCAAGCACAGCTGCAGAAGGTGAAGCAGTACGAGCTGGAATTCCTCGAGGAGCTGCTCAAGCCAAAGAGCAAAGGTGATCTCCCACCACAGGAGTACCTGCACCCTCCTGCCCCTGGGCGCTGCAGCTGCCAGCTAAGGAGCAGCCCCGTGCAGAAGGTCCCAGGGATGTCGAGGGAGCAAAGGCGTAGCTGCGACTGCAAGCGGATCTGCAGGGGGGTGAGGCCACCTCCCAACCACATGGTGATGCCAGAACTGGAGAGGAGAGGGAGAGATAAAGCTAGCAATGAGCAGAAGCAGGAGGAAGCCATTCGGTTGACAAGCATGAGCAGCCCTTCCAAAGGCAAGCGGATACGTTCCACGAGTTTAGAGTCCAGAGAGTACCGGTCAGATCCAGAGAACAGCATGTCCTGTTTGACCACCTGCGCTTCCCGGGGGGAGTGCATGGGCGCTCCACACTACAGGAAGCTTTTGCGTCGCTACAGCGTCAGTGAAATAGATAAGACTGAAAGGACATCCCTGTCCTCTGACATCTACCAGAACATCTATACAACGAAACAGAAGGGCCCACAGAAAGAACCTGAGCCCAGCATCCTTTGTCCCCTTCTGAAAAGCAAACTCCAGGAAGCCACCGGAATGCCTGAACCCTCCTATGTCCAGATAGCACAGGAGAAAAAGAACCAGAAGGGTTCAGCAGTGTTCTCTGTCCAGGAGGAGATGTATCCGAGTCCTGCTGAGCTGCGGGATGAAGACATGGAGGATGAGAAGTGCTGCTCCATCCGGTACTGCTTCTACTACAGGAAATGCGATGTTGCAGATGACGGGAGTGAGAAGGATGAGCTGTCCTATTCCATCCCCATGCAGATACTCCCAGGAATGAAACTGGGTAATCAAATGGTCCCAGTCATGAGCAGAACTCTTCAGGTCCTGGATGCAACAGCCTGTAGCAGTCCCAGTGACAGCCAGACCCAGGAAATAGATTTAAGAACCTCCAGTTTTGAGGGGAGCCTGACAAAGATCAACGCCCTCCGAGGCCATGCCTACAGCTTTCCCAACGGGTTCCTGCAAGTGCAGCTGGACACCAATGAGCTCCTGACTATCCTGAGGCAGTGCGTGGTGAGCCCAGACGTCCGGGACTGCAAACCCTACATCTCCCAACTGGCTGAGTACAAGCAAGAGCTCGCCCTCAAGTTCAAGGAGTTCCGTGCATCCTGCCGCCGCGTGGCAGCCGTCGACAAGAGCCCTACCCACATGCTCTCCGCCATCACAAGCAGCTTCCAGGTGCTCAGCAGCCTCATCGAGACGTTTGTGAGGCTGGTGTACGTGGTGCGCTCGGAGTCGCAGCGCCAAGAGCTGCTGGCAAAGGTGGAGGAAGTGGTGAGGAACTACACCTTCCTGCTGAAGGCTGCCGAGGAGTCCACGGCCAGAACGCTCAGCCACCAGCAGGCAGTGGAGCAGCTCAGCCACCAGTCAGCCACGGTTGCCACCGTCATGAGCACGCTCACGCGCTCCCTGAAGACGCTGATCAATAAGTAAACCAGCTGCGACAGCCAGCAAGCCGGTGCGTGCTGTGCGCTCGTGGGTCTCAAATCGCGTAGGTCTGGTGAGGATGCGTGTCTACAGGCTCACGTCTACTGGGGTTTGTGGTGGTCACGATGCTCTTTCGTCTCTGCAGAACGGGTGGTTGCGTTGGGGGTGGTTTCGAGGTGGTTTTGCATGCCCTGCTGCGAGCTGTGCAACCAGATCATCGGGGCTGTCAAGCAGCTGTACCACGTTCGTTTGTCAGTGATGGTGCTTGGGGGGCACAGGCACCCCATCTCCACACTGATGTGGAGGTTCTGGGCCTCACCTGTGCAAAGACCTTTGTCACGGTGGGTCAGTGAGTGAGCAGGAACTGAGCTGACATCTCCTGGCTTCACTTGGGCAGTTTAGAGCCAAACCAGTGTCTTGCCACGTAAACAGCTCTTCTGCCTCCAGGCTCTTCCTGGCCCACAAGCGCAGCATCATTAGCAGCAGAAGGGATCAGTGGGGTGCAAGTCCCTACTGCTGTGCTAGGGCTTGGGAAGCAGTCCTAGCATGGACAGGATGCCATAATCCTGGGGCAGAGCTGAGTCACCCTTCCAGGCTCTGCTCACACGGCTTAGGCAAAAGGCAAGGGCTTAATGAGTGTGAGCAGGGAGGACCCAGGGAACCACGGGGCTGTCACTCTGGCCTCCGTGTCCCGGCAGGTTGTAGAGCAGATCATTTGAGTGCCATCTCGTGGCACACGCAGGACACCCAAGTGATAAGGCCCAGTCACCATGGGTTTACGAAAGGCAGGTACTGCTTGACTAACCTGATCGTCTGTAGCACAGTGAGCTGCTTAGTGGGTGAGGGAACGGCTGTGGATGCTGTCTGCCTCGGCTGTAGTAAAGCCTTTGACACAGCTTCCCACAGCATTTTCCTAGAGAAAGTGGCTTGGATGGGTGTACCCTTAGAACACTGCTTGGATGGCTGGGCCCAAAGGGTTGTGGTGAATGGAGTTAAATCCCATTGGTGGCTGGTCACGAGTGCTGCTCCCCAGGGCTCAGTATTGCAGCCAGTTCTGTTTAACGTCTTTATAGACAACCTGGACAAGGAGATCAAGTGCACTCCCAGTAAGCTTGCAGGTGACATCACCTGGGTAGAAGTGTGGATTTGCTTGAGGGTAGGAAGGCTTTGCAGAGGGATCTGGATGGGCTGGATTGATGGGCTGGGGCCAGTTGTGTGCAATTCAGTGCCAGCTCCTTCATTTGGGCCACATCAACCTCACACAAGGCTACAGGCTTGGGGCAGAGTGGCTGGAAAGCTGTCGGGTGGAAGAGGACATGGAGGTGGTGCTCAGCAGCCACAGCATGAGCCAGCCTGTGCCCAGGTGGCCAAGAAGCCACCAGCATCCTGGCCTGTATCAGCACCAGTGTGGCAGCAGGGCCAGGGCAGTGACTGTGCCCCTGCATTGGGCACTGGTGAGGCTGCACCTCGAATCCTGTGTTCAGTTCTGGGCCCTGCACTACAAGAGAGACATTGAGGTGCTGGAGAAGGGCCAGAGAAGGGTACCAGAGCTGGTGCAGGGCCTGGAGCACAAGTGTGATGGGGAACAGCTGAGGGACCTGAGGGGGTCAGTCTGGAGAAGAGAAGGCTCGGGGGGTACCTACAACTGCCTGACAGGAGGATGTTGTAAGGTGGGTGTCAAGTCTCAATAGTGATAGGATGGGAGGAAATAGCCTCAAGTTGTGCCAGGGGAGGTTTAAATTAGATATTAGCAAAAATTTCTTCACCAAAGGGTTATGAAGCCCTGGAACAGGCTGCCCAGGGCAGTGGCTGAGTCACCATCACTGGAGGCATTTAAAAGACGTGTGCATGTAGCACTTGGGGACATGGCTAAGTGGTGGACTTGACAGTGGTTGGTTTATAGTTGGACCCAATGATCTTAAGGGTCTTTTCCACCCTAAATGATTCTATGATCCTGTGTTCCCCTTCCTCTGCTGTACGGCTGTGTCTACACTGCAAGGAACCCAGACTGATCTTTGACCATTGCAAGCCAGAAGCTGGGCTAACAGCTGAGAGGAGACCTCTTTCACACCATTCTCCAGAGGTCAGGTCCATGCTCCAAGGCTCAGCCCAAACCCTCTCCTACTTCTTTTCACCATTCCCAATTAGAGAGGAACCCAGATCAGCTTTCTCTGTGAGCCATGGCTTGTCCCTCACTCAGGCAGTGCTACTGCCACTGGCCAAGGGAGCTGCCCTACTTGCCAGCGTGCTGGGGTCCTTTTCCTGTCCCCACTGGGCTGACTGCCGTAAGAAGCATTATTGAGTACTGTGTGATGGTTATTTATTGGAGTTGGGGTCTTTTGAATTATTCTTTTTTCACTTCCAGGTGAATGGTAAAATAATTCCTGCTTCTCTTCACACCCCAAGGTTCCCCTCATCCTCCCAGTCTAGACCTAATCAATCAGACTGCCTTAACTGGTGCTTCACTGCAGTCAGCCACCTTCCAAAATGCAAGGTTACACATTTCATCACCCTTACCCTGCACTTCACACACGCACAGGGAGAGCGGGTTCTCCTGGGGTCCTGGCACCAATCCCCATCGCACCCACCTCTGGCTGGAAAGGGAGACAGTGGCATCAGCCTCCCAGGAGGAGTGAGGCGGGTTGTGAACACCAGCCAGCTTGCCCCAGCGCTTGGGGATGATCGGGGATCTCTGCAGGATCAGTCGCTTCCCATCCCTATGATTTCTTTATAAATATGCACATCCGAAATCTCTCGTTCTTCCATAGGAGTTACGGAAATGCACAATGTGCTTCTAACATGCGCATCCTCTAGCGAGTGCAATAACCTCCCCTGGCCCACGGCTGTCCCGGACTTTGGCCATTGCTGTCGGCAAGGCAGAGAGGATCCTGCTGCGGGGACAGCCTCCTGCTTTCAACAACCATGTAGCAAATACACAGTGGAAGAGCCAGGTTGGAATTTCAGTCTGTGGTGGGCAAAGCCTGTTATAATGCTGAAGGCTGACAGGGAGCTGGGTTTTTCTTTTCCCCGGGAATTATCTATTATGAAGCTCTGAGTTTCTTCAAGCTCCCTGTTATGCCCATATCATTCCTCCAGACATCTCTCAGTCTAATACAGAGGAAAATTTTTTTATTGTCTGTATATAGTATATATAAATTTAAAAAATTATATAAATTATATATATATACACAAATTTATGTCTTGTTTTACAAACAAGAAAGATTAAATATATTAATCTTAATATCCAAACTAGCATTTGTGTCTTTTTTTTTAAGAACTTTGTGGCAATGTGGCTATTCCCAGCTGTACAAAGCACTGTTCATAAGCAAAACCCCCTATTTTTGTCGCTATAGAGCTGTATGTATCTCCGTACTGGAAGCTTAACGACCCCACAGTGTCACTGAACTCCACACCAGTTAAGTACCAGGCTATGAAGGAAGCCACGAAGCAGCAAGAAATGCAGGTTGGAAACTGACTGTTTGACTTGGCACAGCCACTTATGTGTTGTAAATGGGCATTTTGGCTTCATTCCCCTCCAGGAGGGAATGCCTGCAGCAGCACTCACCCCTTCACCACTGTGCTGGGCAAAGCGTGGTCCTCCTGGTGCCCCTAAAGCCGGGGAGAGCCAGGATGTGCTCCAGCCCCTCTCTGTTAGCAAAGTCCTGCCTGATCCCTTCCAGATGAACCAACCTGAGTACTCACTGACAGCTCCAGTGTGTGTCTCCAGCCCAGTCGTAGGCATTTGCTCCTGTGCCTGGGAAGAGGTGACAGCCTGGTACCTGCCATCAGTGACCTGATGATTCCGCAGCCCTGTGGGACTGCTCTGGTGTGTCTGCAGGGGAAAGCCCAGCTAAAGCACAATGCCAAACCCAGGGACAAACCTGAGCCAGGCAGTTTCCCAGCTACAGGTGATGTTTCCGATATCCCATTCGTGCAGGGGACAGGCCTTGCCTGGCACAATGTACTGCTCTTTGCTTATCAGGGAGGAAAGCATTGATGTGTGCTCTTTATGCGTCCCAAAGCCTCCACAACCTATAGAAGCCAAGTCTGGTAAAGATCCAACACGAAAAGGCTTAGGAACTGGGTCATTCTCTGTACGGGGGTTGAATGTGTGGTCTAAAGCACAGGCAGCAGCAGTCAAGACTCACACACATTCTCTGTGCCTCCAGGTTTGTTATTTTAATCTCATCACACCATTTCCCATGCTGAACTAACGATGACACCGCATGGGACAAAACCCACCCATTTATAAAGCTGGCTGTGGATAAAAAAAGTAAATGGAAAAGCCAAGAGGTTTCCTAACAACCCCCAGAGCCTGAAAACATCGACAGCAGGCAGTTTAATCACAAGTTCAGAGTCGATGCCTAGTACCATCTAGTGGGCAATCAGCACCCCGTCACAAAGGAATTACTCCTTCACATCACACCGTTATTATTTGCATAATGGTAGCAATAGGTGCTCCAGGATTAGTCGAATGTCCCTGTGCGAAGGGAGGAGCTGTAGTGGTATGGACCCGAGGAGGATGATGAAGCCCTGCCTTCATTATTGCTGTACTCATCTGTTAGGTGCTGTCCCTCCAGCCTCACTCTGTAAATAGTGTTAAAGGAAATGATCCAGGTAAGACATTCTTGTTCATGTTTCTGAATCACAAATTTGCCCTTTCAGAGCCTCTCGGTACCTGCCTCTCTCATGCTGCCTTCGCCCTGGGGTTTTTGCTGTAGCGTTAATGCTGGCACCGATTTCCTCCAGGGCCTTCACAGCTCCCATGAGCATTGCTCAGCCACAACATGCGTTTGTGACCACCTGATGTCATTGCACTCCCCCAGTCTGCTCCCTCCCTTCATCTTCTCTAAGTTATGGCCTCTCTGAAGGAGACTTCACCAGGGCTCCATCAGTGCATAGAAAATGAAAACCAAATGGGCCATCTCTGGTCCCTCTAAGCCAGAAAGACCTGGCTTTCAGGGGTTAAAGTGCCAAAAGCAAGAGCTGGAAAATGAGCAGACCTCAAGCAGTAATCCCAAGATGGTTTGGATAAAATTACTTGTGTCTCTGTGGACTTTGCTGGTCATTGTCAGCTGGACACAACAACTGGGCACCACGGTTTAAAGCACTTTGAACTCTAATCCCCATGGTGTAGCGCCCGCATTCTCCTGTCAGGGTTTCCATCCTCTCCAAGGTCCTGGCAACACTACAGAGGAATCACAGCAGCCCCAGATACAACAGCAGGGTGAGCTGAATAGCTGGGACCCACTGCTGCTTTCATCAGGCCCACGGGAACTGACAGTCAAACAGAAATGAGTAATGTCTAAGTTTTATCTGCATTTGAAGCAGAGTGTCTGGATTCTTGTGTAAAACATCCTAACAGATTCCTCACATAGGCAGACACGGTGGAGCTGGCTGGGACAAACAAACTTGGTTGCCTTCTACAACAGGGTGACAGCACTGGTGCATAAGGGAAGAGCACAATTGATGTCAACTATCTGGACTTGGGCAAAGCCTTTGATACTGTCCTGCACAACATCCTTGTCCTGCACAACATCCTTGTCTCTGAACTGGATTTGACCGATGGACCACTCGGTAGATAAGGAATTGGCTGGATGTTTGCACTCAGAGTGCTGGGCTTATTCAGCCTAGAGAAGAGAAGGCTCCAGGAAGACCATAGGGCAGCTTCCAGTGCCTAAAGGGACTGACAAGAAATCAGGAGAAGTACTTTTAACAAGGGCCTGTAGGGACAGGACAAGCAGAATGGCTTTAAGATGACAAAGGGTAGATTTAGTATTAGATATTAGGAAAAACATCTTCACTATGAGGGTGCTGAGGCACTGGCACAGGGTGCCCAGAGAAGCTGTGGCTGCCCCATCCCTGGAGTGTTCAAGGCCAGGTTGGACGGGGCTTGGAGCAACCTGCTCTAGTGGAACATGT